CAGTATTAATATGTTTAAAAAACAATTACAATCTTCTTGCACTTAACACAAATAATTAACACTATTCACAAAATCATCATTTTCAAACAACCAAAAAAAAAAAAAAAATACCATCGTAAAACTTTCCAAAAAAAAAAAAAAAAAAAAAAAAAAAAAAAAAAAGAAAAGAAGCATTTGCAAAAAAGGACCTACAACATGTAACATATGAAGAACAAAAATATTAGCCATAGTAAAGATGGCGCCACCACAAACGAATATGGGAAAAGCCAGGATGTACGCACATTAACGTATCCCATCTATCAAATAAAAAAAAAAAACAGAAAAGAGAAAGAATCGGAGTGCATAAATGTCACAGGGGTGGGGGTGGGGGTAAAAAGTAGGCAAAGCAAAAAAAAAACGTAGAAGAAAAGGCGTGTTTGATTTGAATAAAGATTATGACTTTTGAGTAAGCCTGTAGGAGAAATCGGTGTGTTTAAGAGTAATAGTGTTAGTAGTAATAATAATAGTAATAGTAGTAGTAATAGTAGTAGTGGTAGAAGAGTATTCGCGCAAACGAAGGGCAGGGTCGTCGGCAGAGAGCGTCGTCAGTACGCCCCGTGTCGTCGACGTGAATCCTTCGTGCTTTCGGGGGTTGCTCGTGAACATTTTCTCTCTCTCTCTCTCTCTCTCTCTCTCTCTCTCTCTCTCTCTCTCTCTCTCTTTCTCCCCCTCTCTCTTTCTCTCTCTCTCTCTTTCTCTCTGTCTTTCTCTATCTCTCACCCTCTCTCATTCTCTCATTGTCTACCCCTTCTATTACTCTCTTTCTCTTTATCATTGTCAGAGAAACACCCACATAGAAACATACGTATACGTATATGAAAATACATCAAGATATCAGACATGTATATATATATGTGTGTATATGTATAAAACTGTGAAGCTACACTCGTGTAGCTCAGTCTCGTGCCGATGGAATCAACGTACCTTCCCCTCCTGTAAATTGTGTTGGTTGAAGCCGATCCTCTTTCATTATTCGAGATATAATATATCGAGGAGTAAGATAAAAATTGAGGCCAAAAAAAAATGATGTGATAAGGAGATAAGGAATGTGTTAAATATCAAAGAGAAGAAGAAGAAGAAGAAGTAGTAGTAGTAGTAGTAGTGGGGTTTGTTTGATCTTTGAACGGAGGAGTTTTTAACAGACATAACAAACCAGTAAAAAGGATAGGTGATAGTAAGGGGGTAGTAAGTACACATTATAACACACTCGCGCACCCTGGCCATTGACCTTCGAGGACGAACGCAAGGATAGAAAAGGAGAGGATAGAAAGAGAGAAAGAAAAAAAAAGGGAGAATATTTCGAGGAGGAAAAGAAACTGGTGGAAGAGGAGAGGAAGAAAAAGAGATAAGGGGGGAGGAGGTACGTTAGTTCGCATCTATCGTCGACGACGACGATTCGTCGTCATTCCTCTTGTCGTAGTCATAGTCGTAATAGTTTGCCGTCTTCCTAGTACTCTGACTTAATCTTCAATTTTGTCAAATATCATAATAAATGTATACAATATGAGATAATATATTAATAATAGTTTTGTTTATTCTAATAAATATATATTTGAATGAATGATCACATTGTTATTATATTATTAGGTATATCATGGATGTTAACTGGTGAGCTGATTTGACGAGGAAACGAAGAGGGAAGAAAAGGGGGGGGAAGAGTAGAGTCGGGAAACGGGGAGTGCCACCGGTAACCGGTCTACAGGGAGGTGGAAAAAGAGGAAGAAGTGCTGCTGGAAGAGGATAATTCGGAGGGTTGAAAGGAAACCCTTGAGAAAGAGAGAGTACCCGCAGAAGAAGAAGAAGTTAAAGAAGAAGAAGAATAAAATGGGCTGCAACACGAGCAAGGAAAGCGTCCAGCCAGGTGCTGAAGAAGCAAAAGAGGACGTCAAGAATGGAGGTGAGTTTACTTCATTTCTTTCTTTCTTTCTCGCCTCCCCTTTTTTCATTTTCTTATTTTTATTTCATTATTTTCCTATCGTTTTCATCGAACACGCAAAGTTATTCGTTGAGAAGTTTGCGTCTGACTCGTGTCTGGATTACCACCCATCCACCCCCTCCACAATCTCTCCTCTCCTTACCCTATCTCTACCCCGTCTGCTACAATCTTTTTTCTTTCCTTTTTTTTTTCCTCTCTCTTTTCACTTTAAAAGTACGTCTTGTTTTATTATTCAATAATTAATATTAGGTTGGTGCATATGAAATGTCGGATTTTCTTTACGTTTTCCCCTGTTTTCGTTATTTTTTTCTTTCTGCCATAATTTTGTTTATGGTCGTACTGTTTAAAAGTGAAGACACTCCGAAAAAGTCCATATCAGAGTTTATTGATTCTAAAGATTCGAATTTCTTTAAGACAGCCATCTGTGTATTAAAATCTCGTTGGGAAAAGATACACGAACTTTTATATATTCACTTTAAAATCCGACATTTCATAGGCACCAACCTAATAGAAAAAAGGAGAAAGAAAGAAAGAAAGAATCGTAGACGGAGAAATGAAAAGTTTTGTATAAATCCACACAAGGACGTATCGTTCATCGTTTTCGTTGTAATGTATAAGTGTTCTTAGAAATGGCGACTGTAATAGATCGTAATCTAAAGTATCGATTCGATGCTTTGTTTAGTCTTTTTTAAAGCTGTTTATCAAAGAATAATATGGTTAATTTGCATATAATAATATTCCTGGACAGTCAATCGATATTATTCGTACGTGTGTGTGTGTGTGTGTATGCGTGTATTCGATTCGACGTTTCGAATATAATCTCGAAATTTGAATAAAAATATATTCGACAATTATTTTCAACGATATGTATTACGCGTACACGGACATAAGGGAAAGTAATCAAAAGTGGGAGATAGATGACAACTACGAAGCAGGAAAAAATTGTTTAGATTGATGTGACGTATGTATCTATATATAGGGTATTTAAAATCAGTGGTGTCTTGTTAAAACGGATCTTAGAACTCTGTCACGTATGACAGAATGTCGATATAAACGATGACAGCACGGTTCACAGTTCGTAGAACGTTCGTCAAGCTTCGTGATCAGCAGGATGCGTTAATTTAAACTATGTCATTTTAAACATTGAGTTACACCAACATCTACGTATTACGAATTAAATACTCCAATGAACTTGTAATTGAAAGGTATTATTACATTATTACTTTTTCTTTTTTTTTTTAGACGATTTTAATTATTCGTTTTAATGATTATGTAGATATGACATTTTACTTTGATAATATCGTGTGCATCGTTTTATCATTTTCAAAATCGTTAAAAAATTAAATTCAGGTATTATATTAAACACAAATTTGAATTGATTATATTTCAAAGTATCCTCATAATTATCGAACCACTCTGTATATTTTAAACATAGGGGTTTGGGGATATTTAAATTATCGTTTGAACTTAATATTATTATACATCAATTATTCATTTTCAATATCTCAACAAGACCGAAATAATAAAGGATTAAGTTGTTCAAACTAAACTTTGATATATTATAATGAATAGCAACGTTTTATTATATAAACAGAGTGTGTTAAGATAATTTTGAAATATTTTGAAATACGATCAATCAAACTTATATTTAACACATTTACAAATAATTATCTTCGTAATTATTGAAAGAAAGAACATACAAGATTTAAATTAACACGCTCATTTGAGAAATTATTATTATTAATATTGTTTTTTCTATTTCCAAGTTTTTTTTTATACATAATATTTTGCAGTATTTTACGCAGGTGGTAAGAAAACTTGGGTGGTTCTTTTTACGAGCATAGTGAACTACGATGTAAACCAATCTTAATGCGATCATCTCGCGAGATAAATTAGCACGGGTGAGCTTTTTTTCTACATAGCTTCCTAGGGGCTGATATGCTTTTTTTTTCCTATTTTATTTTTTTTTTCTTCTTTTTTTTTTCTTTTTAAAAGAGAGAAAAAACGTTTCGATGACTCATCTCTCCTTCACTTTAGACACGAACACTTTTCTTCTCGATCTATCGATCACGTAGCGAGACGCCCATAGAAATATATCGCACAGTTTCTAATTTTCCATTTGACGAATATCGTTCATCGTCCCCAAAAAAAAATTTAACGTCTGTTTGCAAAAGGAATCAAAATACCAAATATATGCATATATATGCATTTATATAAATGCACTTTGAAAATGTATCGACGTGAGAGTAATTGCGTTTGCGATTTTAATACAAGTGCACTGATTTCAATTACTTATTGACGTTGAAATTGAACAAATACGGTAACGCAAAAATTCAATGAACGAAAACGTTTCGATCGGATTTGTTAATACTTTACTTTCTATCGAGTGTTTGATTTGATAAAAAAACAAAAAGAAAAAATACTGCAATGCATTCAAACACTTCTAATAAATTCGAATATAATCGATTAATAAGAAAATATATTTTGACATTAATATCAAATTAATTGGATATAATTGTAAAACACGTTGAGATCCTAAATGATTTTAAATGATGAATTTTTTCTTCCAAATTTTCTATATAATCAATTTGATCTTACAAATATTTTCTTTTGCTCGTTTATTCTTTAATTTAATTAATTCCGAATTGCGTGTATAGCATGTATGAGTAAGTCATTGATAAACGTGTTATAAGAATGAAAGGACATTCCTGCATTCCTTGAGACAGAAAGTTCGCGTGACCATCAAACGTATTCTGACTAAAATAGGTTAATGACCCAATCTTGCACTTACATTGACTATATAACATGTGGTTGTTAGAAACGAACAAGGTGATTGCGGAGACATTTACTCGGTTTAAACATCGTTCTAAGGTACGTCTAGGTGAATCGACGAAATCCTGTTCTTCGAACTCGTAAACTTTAACGAATCTTGTTGGCTTTTAAGATCCCAGTCGAATGTATCCAGTGGCACGTAAATACCATAGTAAATATCTAAATAGTACAGCCGGGACAAAAGAGTGTACTTTAATTTAATAGAAATTTCATTAAAATTTATTCACTTTAAGTATAAAAAATATTTAGCAATACTTTTCAAAGAAATAGTAAAGTTGTATAGCATTGCAATCTGTGATTTCTTATTTCCGACTTCGTCTGAAGGCTCTTCACATTCATAGTAATTCCGAGGATTTACTAGTAATGCCTGATTTCCTGCTTTGACAGTAACATATATATACATTGTACATGGTAGATAGAGTAAAACGTTTTTGTGCTGGAATGACTTTTATCCAGGAATTTTCTCGTTGAAATTGTTATCCTAGTGTAGATACATAACGGCATATCGATTTATCGACGTAATCGCACTACACTACCAGATTGAAAACCGATAGAGACACTTTATTCGATATGCCGAATAGAATAAGGATGTTTCCTTCGAAAATCAAATCCTCCCTTTACAAGTCTCTACTTGCAAAGAATAATAATCCTAACGACGTTCAAGCTGATTCAATATTCCAAATCGTATCTATCATTTTTCTTTTCGGTCTCTAGTGGAAAAGAACTTTATTTTTCTTTTATTTAAATTGTAACGGATCAGGATCTATAATAGAAAAATATTACAATTTTACCTTGTTTCGTAATACAATTTTGTAGTTGACAAAAGTACAGAAACATTTATGTAACATGTACGTAAGTCGAATAAAATGAAATTAGATGAAATAATGAATATCTCGATTAATTTTATTTCTTTTATAAAAGAACCGCACATGAAACATTAAATGTCTCTTCTATACTCTTTTCAATGTATTCACGTATCCTTAAATAAGTAATGATTTCTTGTAAATGCAAGAGACTAAATGTAAGTAAAGTGGTAGTTTAAACTAACGAAAAGTTCTACCTTTCTTACTGATTTTCTCCCTTTAGAATGAACTATTCTCTATTTCTCACGTTCTAACTTATTCTATTGTTTGAATCATAAGAGAGTTTTCTAATGAAAGACACCATTTATCTTAAAACAGTAATTCGCGATTTAAAATGAATAAAACATATAAATAATTATCTCTCATTTGTATAAATTTTACGTAAAATCATTTAAAAAATGTTACAAATATTTCCAATCAAATTATAGTATTTAAATGATATTCAAAATAAAAAAAGATAATTTTTGTTAAACATTTCTAATCAATCGTATTGTATATTGACATTAAGATTAGAAATATATTCTAAATTGGAGAAAACAAGTTCTTACGTTAAATAAAAACAATTGGGAAATGTTTATTTTCGATAAATCTCATTACATGTAAAATCTTTTTTTTCCAGACACATAGACATTATTTACATAGATGAACAGACACACACGAGAAGAGTTTTCCTTTCGATTACTTTAGAAAAAAGGAGAGAGAGGGAAAGAGAAAAATAGGCTGGTGCATTTATAAAAACATATGTACGTTATCGTAGGAGCGAGTAAATTCCCGAACGAGCTCTTTTTACGGTTATTTACGTTCTCCTGTTTGCGCTTCAACGTTACCTACTCATTTATTTTCCATCTTTCTCCCTTTTCCTTCCTCTCCCCATTATTTTTACTCAACTAGGATCGATAATCTACCGATATATTCTCTATTAGCTTTTATCGACAAGATTTCTTCACTTTCCAGATTGTTTTTTCTTTTTGTTTCATTTGCACCAATTTTCATGCATAACACACATTAGTACCCCAAATGTAATATTGTTGATTGTTGTATGTTGTTATTGACGCGTTTGTTGTCCTACGAAAAAATGGATAATTCATATTGAATAAAGTGAGGAAATAATATATACGTGATCTCGATAATAAGACGATACGTTAACGAGATCCCAACGACAAATGGATGAAATGGTCTTGGCAAAGGACCGATAGTACTGAATTTAAATTAGCGAGAGGATATCGAGTTTCGAGAGCTGCCAAATCTCTACGTGCGAGATTTGTT